GGCTGAACGTACAGGGTTGATTCCTTTTGAGACAGTCTCAGAATGCCTGTGAAAAGCCCTTAAATCAGTTCTGACAGCCCTGAGATCCCTTGGGCACGAGCAGTAACACACACCTGGGCTTATTCAAATTTCAATAGTACATGGATTACGAAATCAATTAGAATCGACACGGCTGAACGTACAGGGTTGATTCCTTTTGAGACAGTCTCAGAATGCCTCTGAAAAGCCCTGAGAACAGTTCTGACAGCCCTGAGATCCCTCAGTCACGAGTGGTAACACGTACCTGCGCTTATTCAAATTTCAATAGTACATGGATTACGAAATCAATTAGAATCGACACGGCTGAACTTACAGGGTTGATTCCTTTTGAGACAGTCTCAGCATGCCTGTGAAAAGCCCTTAAATCAGTTCTGACAGCCCTGAGATCCCTTGGGCACGAGCAGTAACACACACCTGGTCTTATTCAAATTTCAATAGTACATGGATTACGAAATCAATTAGAATCGACACGGCTGAACTTACAGGGTTGATTCCTTTTGAGACAGTCTCAGCATGCCTGTGAAAAGCCCTTAAATCAGTTCTGACAGCCCTGAGATCCCTTGGGCACGAGCAGTAACACACACCTGGTCTTATTCAAATTTCAATAGTACATGGATTACGAAATCAATTAGAATCGACACGGCTGAACTTACAGGGTTGATTCCTTTTGAGACAGTCTCAGCATGCCTGTGAAAAGCCCTTAAATCAGTTCTGACAGCCCTGAGATCCCTTGGGCACGAGCAGTAACACACACCTGGTCTTATTCAAATTTCTATAGTACATGGATTACGAAATCAATTAGAATCGACACGGCTGAACGTACAGGGTTGATTCCTTTTGAGACAGTCTCAGCATGCCTGTGAAAAGCCCTTAAATCAGTTCTGACAGCCCTGAGATCCCTTGGGCACGAGCAGTAACACGCACCTGGCCTTATTCAAATTTCTATAGTACATGGATTACGAAATCAATTAGAATCGACACGGCTGAACGTACAGGGTTGATTCCTTTTGAGACAGTCTCAGAATGGGCCAAAGTAGGTGCCTGAAGTGGACTGACAGCCCTGAGATCCCGCAGTCACGAGTGGTAACACGTACCTGCGCTTATTCAAATTGCAATAGTACATGGATTACGAAATCAATTAGAATCGACACGGCTGAACGTACAGGGTTGATTCATTTTCAGACAGTCTCAGAATGCCTCTGAAAAGCCCTGAGAACAGTTCTGACAGCCCTGAGATCCCTCAGTCACGAGTGGTAACACGTACCTGCGCTTATTCAAATTGCAATAGTACATGGATTACGAAATCAATTAGAATCGACACGGCTGAACGTACAGGGTTGATTCCTTTTGAGACAGTCTCAGAATGCCTGTGAAAAGCCCTTAAATCAGTTCTGACGGCCCTGAGATCCCTTGGGCACGAGCAGTAACACACACCTGCGCTTATTCAAATTGCAATAGTACATGGATTACGAAATCAATTAGAATCGACACGGCTGAACGTACAGGGTTGATTCCTTTTGAGACAGTCTCAGAATGCCTCTGAAAAGCCCTGAGAACAGTTCTGACAGCCCTGAGATCCCTCAGTCACGAGTGGTAACACGTACCTGCGCTTATTCAAATTTCAATAGTACATGGATTACGAAATCAATTAGAATCGACACGGCTGAACGTACAGGGTTCATTCCTTTTGAGACAGTCTCAGATTGGGCCAAAGTAGGTGCCTGAAGTGGACTTGACAGCCCTGAGATCCCTCAGGCACGAGTGGTAACACGTACCTGCGCTTATTCAAATCTCAATAGTACATGGATTACGAAATCAATTAGAATCGACACGGCTGAACGTACAGGTTCATTCCTTTTGAGACAGTCTCAGAATGCCTGTGAAAAGCCCTTAAATCAGTTCTGACAGCCCTGAGATCCCTTGGGCACGAGCAGTAACACACACTGGTCTTATTCAAATTTCAATAGTACATGGATTACGAAATCAATTAGAATCGACACGGCTGAACGTACAGGGTTGATTCCTTTTGAGACAGTCTCAGCATGCCTGTGAAAAGCCCTTAAATCAGTTCTGACAGCCCTGAGATCCCTTGGGCACGAGCAGTAACACACACCTGGTCTTATTCAAATTTCAATAGTACATGGATTACGAAATCAATTAGAATCGACACGGCTGAACGCGCAGGGTTAATTCCTTTTGAGACAGTCTCAGATTGGGCCAAAGAAGGTGCCTGAAGTGGACTGACAGCGCTGAGATCCCCCAGTCACGAGTGATAACACGTACCTGCGCTTATTCAAATTTCAATAGTACATGGATTACGAAATCAATTAGAATCGACACGGCTGAACGTACAGGGTTGATTCCTTTTGAGACAGTCTCAGAATGGGCCAAAGTAGGTGCCTGAAGTGGACTGACAGCCCTGAGATCCCTCAGTCACGAGTGGTAACAGGTACCTGGGCTTATTCAAATTTCAATAGTACATGGATTATGAAATGAATTGGAATCGACACGGCTGAACGTACAGGGTTGATTCCTTTTGAGACAATCTCAGAATGGGCCAAGGTAGGTGCCTGAAGTGGACTGACAGCCCTGAGATCCCTCAGGCACGAGTGGTAACACGTACCTGCGCTTATTCAAATTTCAATAGTACATGGATTACGAAATCAATTAGAATCGACACGGCTGAACGTACAGGGTTGATTCCTTTTGAGACAGTCTCAGAATGCCTCTGAAAAGCCCTGAGAACAGTTCTGACAGCCCTGAGATCCCTCAGTCACGAGTGGTAACACGTACCTGCGCTTATTCAAATTTCAATAGTACATGGATTACGAAATCAATTAGAATCGACACGGCTGAACGTACAGGGTTGATTCCTTTTGAGACAGTCTGAGAATGCGCCAAAGTAGGTGCTGAAGTGGACTGACAGCCTGAGATCCCTCAGGCACGAGTGGTAACATGTACTGCGCTTATTCAAATTTCAATAGTACATGGATTACGAAATCAATTAGAATCGACACGGCTGAACGTACAGGGTTGATTCCTTTTCAGACAGTCTCAGAATGCCTGTGAAAAGCCCTTAAATCAGTTCTGACAGCCCTGAGATCCCTTGGGCACGAGCAGTAACACACACCTGGTCTTATTCAAATTTCAATAGTACATGGATTTCGAAATCAATTAGAATCGACACGGCTGAAGGTACAGGGTTGATTCCTTTTGAGACAGTCTGAGAATGGGCCAAAGTAGGTGCCTGAAGTGGACTGACAGCCCTGAGATCCCTCAGTCACGAGTGGTAACACATACCTGCGCTTATTCAAATTTCAATAGTACATGGATTTCGAAATCAATTAGAATCGACACGGCTGAACGTACAGGGTTGATTCCTTTTGAGACAGTCTCAGAATGGGCAAAAGTAGGTGCCTGAAGTGGACTGACAGCCCTGAGATCCCTCAGGCACGAGTGGTAACACGTACCTGCGCTTATTCAAATTTCAATAGTACATGGATTTCGAAATCAATTAGAATCGACACGGCTGAACGTACAGGGTTGATTCCTTTTGAGACAGTCTCAGATTGGGCCAAAGTAGGTGCCTGAAGTGGAGTGACAGCCCTGAGATCCCTCAGTCACGAGTGGTAACACGTACCTGCGCTTTTTCAAATTTCAATAGTACATGGATTTCGAAATCAATTAGAATCGACACGGCTGAAGGTACAGGGTTGATTCCTTTTCAGACAGTCTCAGAATGCCTCTGAAAAGCCCTGAGAACAGTTCTGACAGCCCTGAGATCCCTCAGTCACGAGTGGTAACACGTACCTGCGCTTATTCAAATTTCAATAGTACATGGATTACGAAATCAATTAGAATCGACACGGCTGAACGTACAGGGTTGATTCCTTTTGAGACAGTCTCAGATTGGGCCAAAGTAGGTGCCTGAAGTGGAGTGACAGCCCTGAGATCCCTCAGTCACGAGTGGTAACACGTACCTGCGCTTTTTCAAATTTCAATAGTACATGGATTACGAAATCAATTAGAATCGACACGGCTGAACGTACAGGGTTGATTCCTTTTGAGACAGTCTGAGAATGGGCCAAAGTAGGTGCC